AAATGAATTTTATTAAAATTCCTGAATATAATTGGATTTCAGGGAAGAGTTTTGATATTTATTTAAAAATAATTGAAATGTTGACGAAAATTTAAAAAAAAAATTTGAAAATAATTGAATTTCTAGAATTTTGAGATTTATTAAGACAGTTGAATTCTTTTAAAGAATTGCGTTGATAATTAAAAACATTGAAACTAATTTCAAGAATTAAAATTATTTAATGAAGTATTTTTTTGAAAATTTTTTTTTTCAAAAAAATACTTCATTAAATAATAATTTATAAGTAAATAACTTTATGTCAATTCTTTAATAGAATTAAGTTATTTAAAATAATTTTTTGACAGAAATAGAAAAAATTGAAGGTTCTTTAGAATTCATGGTATAATTTCATAGTTTATGAGTTAAAAAACACAGAAATTCATAATTTACTTATAAATTCTAAACATTTAATTTTTTCCAGTACTTTTAATAAAAAATCCCTGACTTTTCCCTGACCTGTGACAATCCTCTTGTCAATAAAATCATACAATTTTGTATATATTCAACTGGTAAATTGAAATATAGGGAAAAAAATAAAAAACCGCCAATTGCCTCTATTTGAAAATTAACAAAGAAAAAAAAAAGGTTTGTGCAAAAAGAAAAAGAAAAAAAAATAGCTCGTATTGCCTGTAAAATATATTCACAAATTCATAACTATATTAGAGATTTTATCGCCATCATTTAGTGGGAATTAAATCACCGTGACATGTTTCGAAATGAGGAAAATTGTGTTTAAATTGAGAAAATCGTGCGTGTGATTGAGAAAATACACATGCACATTTACAGAAATACATAAAATTGTAAATTGGTGAATATGTTATTTATAAATGTGAATATAATACCGCAAACGTGAAAATTAACGTTTATATAGGACTCGTGTATGTACATACGGTGCATGTTTGTGTACACTATGTATATTCTAACTGGCGCCACATTTATGCAATTACATCGTAAATGTAGCAAATAGATTGGTGGTAACTTGCCAATTGTAATTACCCACTCACATCGGCCTATGTCTACATCAGTCTTATATTTATCGTTCACTCGCTTATTCGTGTCTGACCAAACGCGTTAACGCCTCACTGCATATACTTCAGCCTTTTAGCTGCCCAACATAGTATGCAAATGCCTCTTCCCGTCGTTCACATATTTTTAGAATTTTTATCTCAACATTTATCACACATTTATGTTGATATTTATTTATATATATGGGCAATTCCACGTGAGATTTAAGTCGACCTCTTAAAATCGGCCAAAAATATTTTTTTTCTATTCTATATCGAAAAAAAAACAGATACGTATTTTTTTATTTATGTTTAATTGTCCAAATTTTCGAGTTATGAATTTTCGAAAATTTGGACTTTTAATTGTAGACCTATATTCAGTAGCTTATAAGTCCGAAAATATTGAGTTTAGGAAAAAGTTGTCAAAGAATGAAAGTTTTAGTTTTCTTTCGACTTTTAAGAAATGTAAACAAAAAATTTTTTTTTAATTTTTTATTGAAAATATTATTTATCGTATATTCACTCGAATAATGTGAGAGAAAACGGAGAATTGAAATCCCCACCCCGTTTGAAAAATACTGTAAAAATTTAATTTAATTTTTTTAACACCCTTTTCTTGGAAAAAAGACAAAAAATTATTATAAAATTATTTTTTAAAAAATTTTTTTAATTAAGTGAATTATTATTTTTAAAAACTCTTTCCTTCAAAGAACCCCCCCCCCCCACCCGCTCCAAACATAATTTACTGAATTAACCCCCTTCCCCAGGAAAAAAAGAAAAAACAATATTCACAAAATAAAAAAGTAATAATTTTTGTTCTAGTTTTTTAATTAAGTTAATTATTATTTTTTTTTAAAATAATATTCTTCCTTTATATATTTTATAAATAATTCTTTCCTTTATAGAAAAAACCCCCCCTGCCCTAAACATAATTTACTAAATTAACCCCTTTCCCCCGAAAAAAATAAAAAACAATATTCATAATATAAAAAAATATAATTTTTGTTCTAGTTTTTTAATTAAGTCAAATATTATTTTTTTTAAAAACTCTTTCCTTTAAAGAAAGCCCCCCCCCTGCCCTAAACATAATTTACAGAATTTAACCCCCTTCCCCTGGAAAAAAATGAAAGACAATATTCACAAAATAAAAAAATATAATTTTTGTTCTATTTTTTTAATTAAGTGACTTATTATTTTTTTTAAAACTCTTTCCTTTAAAGAAAAAATCCCCCCTGCCCTAAACATAATTTACTGAACTAACCCCCTTCCCCCGGAAAAAAAGAAAAATCAATATTCAAAAAATAAAAAAATATAATTATTGTTCTATTTTTTTAATTAAGTCAATTACTTTTTTTTAACGAAAACATCAATAACTTCATTTTTTAATAAATATTTAATTGTTATCATTTTTTCATGCGAATTAAGATTTTCAAAAAATTTTAAAATTTAAATTCAAATCTTTATAAAAATTCAACAACTTTTAAGAATATTATTATAAAACATGAAGATACCGATCACTTCGAGTCGAAGACTCGGAGTTATTGATATCTTCATGTTTTGTAATAATTTAAATTTCCACAAAATTTAAAAAAAATAAATAAATAAATAAATTATTTACAAAAATTTTAATAAAATTCTTCCCAAGAATTCGATTATTTTTACAAGTAATAAAATTTTTCACATGAATTCAATTATTTAAAAAAACTGTAATAAAATCCTTCCCAAGAATTCAATTATTTTTACAAGTAATAAAATTTTTCACATGAATTCAATTATTTAAAAAACTGTAATAAAATTCGTTCTGAGAATTCAATTATTTTCATAAATAATAAAATTTTTCATAGGATTTCAATTATTTTTAAAACAATTTTAAATAAATTCCCCAACAAATGTAATTATTGTCAAAAATTTTTTGCAAGAATTCAATCACATTTCACAAATAATGAAATTCTTCGCTGAAATTCAAATATTTTCAAAATCTACAATTTTAAAAAAATTTCTTAAATGAATTCAATTTAAAAAAAAATTTAATAAAACGCATTGCAAGAATTCAGTTATTTTCATAAATAATACAATTCTTGCAGAATTTTCTTTATTTACAAAAATTTTGATAAAATCGTTCCCAAGAATTTAATTCTTTTTACAAGTAATAAAATTTTTCACATGAATTAAATTATTTAAAAAAATGTAATAAAATTCGTTCTGAGAATTCAATTATTTTTATAAATAATAAAATTTTTCATAGGATTTCAATTATTTTTAATGCAATTTTAAAAAAAATCCACGAAAAATGTAATTATTTTCTAAAATTTTTTGCAAGATTTTAATTACATTTCACAAATTTCGAAATTTCACAAATTTTTTAAACGAATTCAATTAAAAAAAAATGTATTAAAACGCATTGCAAGAATTCAATTATTTTCATAAATAATACAATTTTTTACAGAATTTCAAGTATTTAAAAAAAATTTAATAAAATTCGTTGCAAGAATTCAACTATTTTTATAAATAAATAAAATTCTTCACAGGACTTCAATTATTTGAAACAAATGTAATAAAAATTCTTTACAAGAATTCAATTATTTTCCTAAATAATGAAATTCTTCACAGGATTTCAATTATTTTTAATAAAATTTTAAGTAAAATCTTCGAAAAATGTTATAATTTTCAAACATATTCAAAAATCAATTATTTTTTAAAATTCATGCTATAATCCTTTTGATATTCAATTATTATGTAAAATTTTAACTGAAATTCATTTTTAAATCAATTTTTATTAGAAAATTTTACGAGAATTAAATTTTTTAAATACAGAAATAAATAATTTATTGAATACATGAGTGTTTTGCAAAGTTGAATCCTCATAAAGAATGTTATCAACAAATTTTTAAATAATTGAATTTTTTCAACGAATTTTAATAAAATTTTCAAGAATAATTACATTTTTCGAGGAATTTGATTAAAATTGTATTAAAAAGAATTGAAATTTAATTATGAGTTTTTATATTCATGAAAATAATATAAAAATAATTGAATCTCGGTAAAAAATTTTATTATTCATGAAAATAATTTAATGTTTAGGTACATTAAATTTTATCAACACTTTTTTTAAATAATTGAAATGTTTTGCAAAATCCTATTGTAAAATTTAGAATAGTTCCTTTTTTTAAAAATTTTTCTTTTAGTTAATTGCTAATTTAATTGTTAATTTGCCTATAAATTTGATCCTAAAGAAAAAATAGTCATACATTTTACAAAATTATTAAATTCTTAGATTCCCCCTCCCCCCTCTTCCCTGAAAAAAATATTCACACAATTTTCAAAATTATAAAATTTAATTTCATTTTAACTTTCATGAAATTAGTAATTTAATTAGTAATTCAATTAATTATCTCTTAAAAAGTTAATTAAATTAATAAATATGATTAATTACAAATAGTTTTGTAATATTCTAAACAGAACATATTTTTTATAATAATTGGTAAATAAATAAAAAAATTGTAAAATATTTCTTATAGAAAAAGGGGAAAAAATAGGAAAGAAAAAAAAGGAACAGAAGAAAAAATAATGGTAATAAGATTAAAAATTTATTATTATAAACAAAATGAAAAATGTAAAGTCGAGAAAGAAAAATCAGTAACAGTAATTAAATTTTCCACAATAATTGAAAAGAAATAATAAACAAATAAAAAGAAAAAAATTGAAAATTTGTAAAATAATTAATATAGAAAAAAAGAAATGTGAGAAAAAAATGAAAAATGAGAAAAAAAATAAAAAAAAAAGAAAAGAAAGAAATTACAGTAATAAGATTATAAAACAATTATTATAAAAAATAGAAAAGGAAAAGAAGAAAGAAACAAACAAAAAAGACAAAAAGTAAAGACAAGAAAGAAAATCGGCTATAATAATTAAATGCTACTTAAAGAAAAACAAATTTTCTCCTTTTCTCTTACATACTTGGATATAGGAATCTCAGAGGCAGACCGGAAGTTCGATAAATGTCACTTGTACAAGGACCAGGTGGCAATGTTTTCTCAATTAACTCGGAATTATCTCCCTCCCCAACATGAGAACATGTGTAATTTTCCATTATTTCTTACTTTTCTTTTTTTTTTTTTTTTTTGAAAAATTTTTTTGTGAAAAAGAGAAAAAATCAATATGTGCAAGTGTGTCGCGAAAAAAAAATATAAAAAAAATAATACTTTGCCCTTAAAACACAAAGAGAAAAATGGAAAAGCCGATATAGAGAGAAGGCCAAACGTATTCTGGTTACTATGGTAACGTTACCATATATACCTGATAAATGTCAAAAGGATAAAAGCAAGTTGTTTGAATTTGACAAACTAACACTGTTTCGAAAAAAGAAGAAAAAAGAATTACTTTCCAGATTCGTACTTTCTGTTGACATTAAATATCACATTTTTCAGTTTTTGTTAACAAAATAGAAATTTTTTTTCCCTTCGAATTTATTTTGAAAAAATATATCTATAAATTTTTTTAAGGATAAAAAATCTAATTATTCTTGAAAACGAAAAATATTTTTCTTCTATTTAACGAAAGTTAAAAATTAGTCAAAAGTGTTTAATCATATTTACTTATTTAATTAGTTTCTTAATTATTTGTTTATTTCTCTAATTAGTTTCTTAATTAATTGTTTATTTATTTACTTATTTAATTGCTTGTTTATTTTTTTGCCCTTTTTCTGTTTGTAAAATAAGGTTGCAAAAAAATTATTTATTTACTTGTTTATTTTTTAATTTGCTTTTATTTTTTTTTTATTTGCAAATTTGTTCATTAAATTATTTAATATTTAATTTCTTATTTATTTATTCACTTTACTAATTACTAATTGGAGAAAATGATTAAATTATTATTAATTGAAATTGAATTTTATGCAAATTTATTTATTATAGTTATGAAAATCAGAAATACATCGACCGCAAAATTTTACGACTGTGGAAAAGAAATTTACGCAAAAGATAAAAAAAGAACAATGGAAAGAGATAATTTATCACCTCACTTGTGGTTTCAGTGCTGAAATGTTTCTACAATATTTGTACCACAATTTGGCCTTAACTAAATAATATTTTGCATTTTTTGTTTTTACTGCTACAAATGTTTTACAAATCAAAAAAAAAAAAAAAAAAAAAAAAAAAATTGAAGATGAATAATAAAAAGTACAAGGGAGGCAAACGAAAATGGTAAAATAATTCCTGAGGAAAATAAAATTATAAATTGTAAAATAAATATTATAGAAAAATGGGAAGAAAAAAAAGAAAAGAAAGACAAGAAGAAAAGAAGAAAAAAAGGGAAAAAGAAAGAAAAAAGAAAAAGGAAAAAAAGAAACGGAGAGAAAAAAAGAAAAAGGAAAAAAGAAACGGAGAGAAAAAAAGAAAAAGGAAAAAAAAATTGAAATAAGAGGAAAGATAGGAAAACTTAATTACCAAAAAAAGTTATTCAGAAAAAAGTTGAAGATAATAGACATTAAAAAGAAATAAAAAATGAAGATGAAAGATTTTCTAGCGACTAGTAAAAACTCTTTCTGCATATCTAATATACATTGCATGTGAGAGAGAGAAAGAGATAGTAAATAAGGAAGTAAATATAATTATACTTGGAAATAATTTATACACATTTACTTATATGAGTCTTCCTGTTAAATGCATAGTCAATGCATTTACTGTCTACAAAATAATCACATCTGCCATTGATTAAAGCATAAGGTTAGTGAAGTTACGTAAATTTCCTTTCAAACCGTATTTTAAATGCAAAAGCATTTAAAATTAAAATTAAACTTCTCTTATTTTCCACCTACTTTATCAAATACCAGCAACAATTCGCGCGGCTAACTTTTTAGGGTAAAATTAGAAATTTTAAAAATAATATATTATTTTTAAATTTTTAAATTCTATAGAATTTAAAAATTTTTAATTCAAATTTTTGTTCAAAACACTAAAAAAATTCTAATTTTTGGAAAAATTACAAATAATCGCAGAAATTCAATTATTTTCAAGAGTGATAATATTCTTCTCATAAAATTCAATTATCTTTCAAATTAAAAAAAAAAATTCTCGTCAAAATCCCAATTATCTTTATAAATAACAAAATTCTTCCCCAAAGTTCAATTATTTTCAAATCAATTTCAAATTCCCAAAAATAGTACACAAACAATTTAATTATTTTCATAAATAATAAAAATTTCTCAGGAATTCAATTTTTTATAAATTCCTTCGCAATAATTCAATTATTTTTATAAATTATAAAATTTTTTCAATTATTTTCATAAAAAATAATTAAAAATTGTAGAAAATAATAATTGTTTTGAAATGATGAAAATAATTTTGAAAAAGTTACTGTAATAATATTCAATGATTTTATCACTCGATCATTTTTAATTATTATAAAACATTCTTACAAGTTATTGAATTTAAAAAGATTTGAAATTGAATGTTTTGAAAAATTTTAATTCCTACGGAAAAATAATATTTAAATATTTATTTAAAAAAGAGTTATTGATGTTTTCGAATAATTTTACAATTAAAGAAATTCGTAAATAAATATGTAACAAAACATTTTTTTGAGTAAAATTTTTTCCTTTATTTTCTATAAAGATTAAAAAAGTTCATTCAAATAACTGATTTCAAATTTAAACTTTTTGAAATTCAATAAATTATAATATTATTAAGAAACATAAAGAAATCAATTTCTTTATTTTTTATAATAATAAAAGGTGATCGAGTGATAAAATCATTATTTTATATTATAAAAATATTGTTACAGTAACTTCTTCAAAATTATTTTCATCATTTCAATTCAATTATTATTTTCTACAATTTTAAAATAAAATTTTTTTTTAAATCAATTATTTTTAATAATTTTTTAGAAAGTTCGTTGAAAATTTTCAATTCTATTTGTTTACAATTCAATTTTACCAAAAATTTCGATTATTTGGAAATTTTTCAAATATACATTGTATCAGAAAATAAAAACTAAAAATAATTTTAGAAAATTCCATTTAAGCTTTTTGAAAAAAATTAATTCCATAGAATTTTTAATTGAAAATATGAAAAATTCAGATTTTCAAAGATTTTAATTTCAAGCCTTTACAAAATTCAATTATTTCTAAAAAAAAAAATATCTATTATTAGTAATTTCTTTAAAACTCAATTAATATCTAAAACTTTAACTAAAATTAATTCTTAAATCAATTTTTATGAAAAGATTCTACGAGAATTCAATTATTTAAATACAAAAATAATTTATTGAACAATTGAATGATTTTTAAAATTGAATTCTCATAAAGAATTTTATGAACCATTTTTTAAATAATTGAATTCTTTTTGACGAATTTTAATAAAGTTTTTAAGAAAAAGTTTTTTTTTCGAGAAATTCGATAAAAATTGTATTAAAAATAATAATTGAAATCCTGCAATGAGTTTTATTATTTATTAAAATAATTGAATTATTAGAAAGAACTTTTAAAAAAATGTTTCAAACAATTGACTTTTTTCGACAGAATTAATGCAAATTCTATTTTTTTAATAATTGAATTTCTGTTGAATTTTCATTATTTTAGAAAATAATTTAATATTCTTGTAGAGTTTTTTCAAAATTGTCTTTAAATAATTGAATTCTTTTGGGAAATTTTATTAAAATAATAGATATATACAAATTATTGAATTAAGAAACATTTTGAAAATTCATTTTGCAATTCATTTTGCAATTGAATTTTATTAAAATTCTTGAAAATAATTGAATTTTATTATTTTTGAAAATAATTGAATTCTTGTGATGAATATTGTCATTTATGAAAATAATTGACTTCCTCCAAATGATTTTATTATTTATGAAAATAATTAAATTCCTGAAAGGAATTTTAAAATTTATGAAAATAATTGAGCTAAGAATTTAATGCCAAATTTTAAAACATTTGAAATTTCCAAAAAAATTTATGCAAATTCTATTCTACTTTAAATAATTGAATTCATGTGAAATTTTTATTTTTTTGGAAAATAATTGAATGTTCGTGTAGAATTTTAACAAAATTTTTGTTTGATAATTTAATAATTAAATTAAGTAAACGAATTAAATAGTTAATTTAATAAATAAATTTTAAAAAAATTAAGTAAACAATTAAATAAATAAATTTAAAAAATAATTAAGTAAACAATTAAATAAATAAAAAGTATTGAAAAAATGCGTTATATAATTAAAATTCTTAGTAAAAAAAAAATTATAAAAAATCTAAAAATTCATACCAGTCGAATCACTAATTTGAATTTAGTGGGAAAAATTGATTAGCGTTCGTACGTAAAAGAATTACCAGAGGGCAGTAGCTATCAGAAAACTACTATTATCATCTATAGTTAAGACAGTAATTCGGAAAAATTTGGAAAATAATTCTACTAATTTTATAATGTTTTCCACTTTGAATTAAAATTTGCCATTCATGAAAATATTAATAAAGTTGTAAAAAATATAACCAAAAAATATTGCCAAAAAAATAACAAAAGAATAAAATACTGGTAAATGCTAGTAAAATCCCTGTATTATCAACAGTTAGTTAATTAACCATATTTATTTACTTTTTCTTGTACTAAAACAAACTTAAACATTACAAAAAAATAGTTATTTTATCCAATTATATATAAAGAAACAGCACAAAATAAAGAAAAATTATTATTTGATTATAGAGCTTTGGTTTGAAAAATTCGATCACTGATGTCACAATCCCATTTTCATTGCCATTCGCTCATTAATTATATTATTATAAACTATAATAAACATAGATTTGGCAAAAAGATTTTGCAAAAAAAATTATTTTATAATCTACAGTGTAATTTATTCTAAAATTCTGTTTCTATTTTAGGGACAAAAGTTACAAGGTGGTTCCGTGGTGTAGCGGTTATCACGTCTGCTTTACACGCAGAAGGTCGCCAGTTCGATCCCGGCCGGAACCAGTTTTTTTTGTTCCAATTGCTCTAAAAATTATTCTCTCTAATATCAATTTTTGCTAAACAATTTTTTTGGCATTGTTACAAAAAATATATTCAACAGTTAAAAAAAAAATGTATTTATTTCCAAAAAATGTTCACTTGTCTGTTATCAAATAAATATTTACTTGAATCAAGTAATTTTTATTTAGAGTAAATAAATTTG